TCCAGTCCATCACAGGCACACATAAAAACAAGATTTCATGATAAAGCTGGCACCGTTTATTTTTAATCTTCACTGATAAAAAAAAATTAAAAAAAATGTATACATAAAGTGTTTATAAAAATTGTTTCCACCCTCTGTCCCAGACCCGTCCCGGTCCGCCCGTCTGCCATGGCTTGGAGTCCAGCCTTTATGAGTACACAATGCCAGGGCCCAGATCCCGGCCTTCAATGGGTTGACAGCTCGTATGATCCTCCGCGGTTACTAGTTCACTCTGAATTTTGTTGTTGGTGGTCACCAAACACAAAAAACGCCTGCACTTCAGCATTAGGCCACGGTGTTGTCATTATTGTTTTTAAAATCTTTAAAATAGGTCCAGTCGCTGCTCCGAGCTTAAGTAATGGCAAATGGTAGATCGGGTGTTTTGAAAAGTTTCTCAAAGATCTAGTGACTCCGCCCCCTGACCAATCATTGACCAAAAATGTTCTGATGTCACGTTTTGTTGTCGACTTGGCTCACTTGGTACCCCAAAGAAATGGGTCCTGAAAACGGGTCCGGTTCCATAAAAAATTGCTAGTGAAAAAGTCTTGGAACCGCATTGAGCAGAGTCAAAACGTGCTGAAGAGGAGCTATGGTAAAGGGGCAATAGAGACGAACAATTAAAAAAATTCCAAAATTCTGTTTTTGTGTCACACATCTGGGTCCTTGAAAAAGCCATGGAGTAATCTAACACAGATTGACAGATTTACATTTCAAGTCAATGAAACTTCCTTTACAGAAATGTAGGCATGGGGTTCAGTCTCAAGCAGACAGTGATGCAATAGAGTGGATGCAATCCACCATAAAACACCAAAGAAAAAAAAAAAACTCACTTAATGGCGTATTTTGAGCTGGAGCAGTGGCACGCATGAGTTTATGCCAAGTTCATGTGCGCACCACTGCTCCAGCTCAAAATACACCGTAAGGGAAGTTCTTCTTCTTCGTTTGTGTTTTACGGTGGATTGCCTCCACTCTGTTGCATCGCCGCCTCCTTGAGACTTAGCCGTCTGGCCATGGCGTTGATGTCAGTTCTTTTGTTCCCAGGTGGAGAGAAGACTCATGTTGACACAAATAATCAACAGAAAATGATAAAGTTGTTGCCATTTAATCTTAATAAGGCAGGAAAAGTTACAGGCTCAGCGCTGAGGCTCGAGTCTGGTCACCACGCAGACTATGTCCGACAAGTCCCGAAACAAGGAAGCATCTTCTTCATATAGTCACTAGGCTCCGCCTGGTTGCAGAGGATGGAGTACAGCCTCCCATGCTATCAGTATCAATGTGTGGCCCAAATAAGGCTTTAATTGATCTCTCAAAGTGTAGGTGTAATTATTTTTCTGTGTGCTGCATAGAAAACTAAGAACTAAGCAATAAAATCGATCTCTAAATAAGGATGAGACCTCAGACAGCCGTTCAAAGCAGCTGTATGACTAATTTCCTCTTTTCTCTTTAACAGCTGAGATTATTTTAGAACAAATGTAACATCAGAGGCAGAAGTTTTGCTCTGCTTTTCGAACCACATTAAACCAGGCTGAACAGACAAACTAGGGTTCATTCTGAGGACATACAGTTCAGTAGTCCCTCGCTACTTTACGGTTCGACTTTCGTGGACTCGCTTTTCTGCAGTTGTTCAAAGTAAGATTGGACATGACACACAAACGGCTGATTGTTGGATGAGCCGTAAGATCGGCATGGATTTTTTAAATTTAAAATAAATTATTTAAAATTATTTAGCACCTGCTGCACCTGTGTGCAGTCCACATGTGCAGGGAGAAGCTCCCTCCTGCAGTGTGATCTGAGCTCCGCTCTGCAGCAGAGAAGTGGGCGTGGCCGAGAGCACTAGTAGGTGGCAGAGAAGTGTGGAAAGGGTTTTAAATGCCTTTATATATATATATATAATAAACTAGTACATACTACTTGTACAACTATTCCTACTTTGCGTTTTTTCTCTTATCGTGGGTGGACTGAGAACAGAACCCCCCGCAATAAACGAGGGGCTACTGTATATGACTGAACCCCGTGCCTACATTTTCGTAAAGGAAGTTTCTCTGACGTGCAACGTAAATCTGTCCATCTGCGTTCAATTACTCCGTGGCTTTCTTAAGGACCCGCATGTGTAACACAAAATTTGAATTATAGAACTGAAAATGTAAGTAGTCAAACTGAATGCTGAATTCAGCGAAGTGCAGTTAGTTTCAAAGCAAATGAATTCAGTTTCAAACCATTAAATTCAGTTTCAATTTAGAAATTAAAACTGAATAGAAATTCATTTTCAAACCTGTGGATTTAATTTCAAATTACGTAAACACAGATTCAGTTTGAGCAATTCAAATCTCACTTTCTGATGGCACAAGTTTCTGCCCACATGTAGAACATTATTGAAGAAATCTGAAACTAAATGTATGATTTCAGTGATATTTTCAGTGTTTTATTCAGTGAAGAAAAGTGGTGTGTAAAATATCTCACCTGAGTCCCTCCTCTGGAGCTGAACTCAGCCCTGCAGCAATTTAGACCAAGAAATAGAGCTGTTCTGCAAAGAGCCTTCAATCCAGTTTGACCTCTCCCCGGTCTTTCAAGTGAACTCAAAGGTACTCGACCTAAACCTCCCCTTCGCTCGGAGCACCTCCATATTTTAACACGTCACAGATGAAAGCCCCCAGAAAGGATGGGGAGAGAAAAAAAAAATCAATCACACCAATTCCTCTTAAAGTTCAAACTGCTGCTGGTTATCTGGCCATCGATCTGCTGCTCTCTTTCATTCGACTGCATGTGGGAACGTTGTGCGGTGCTCACAGCTAGGCCTCTACATTTCCTCTGAAAACCTGTTTTCTCTCCTCTGAGCGCAGCCTCGTAACAACATCAGCTTCGCCGTGCAGCATCGATGCTCACATCCCTTCTCCTTTGCAGCCGAGACTTGAAGGTTTTTTTTTTAATGAATTTTATGTCTGTATTGATCAGGGAGAAAATTGGGTTATGAAGCTGCAGAATCATTTTGTTTGTTGAGCCTCAGATATTTGTCTTTTGTTGCCTCGGGGCTAATGACAGGTCTCTACCGCCTGCCACCCCAAACTGACTCCTCGCAGCTTGGAGACGGACCATCAAGAATGATTTTTTATTTCCTGAAACAGCAGATGAGACTGGTTAAGCAACCTAAAGATTTCTCTTGACAAAGAATAATGAGACTATTGATTGTCCCGAGACATATTTACCAAGGTTCACTTTGAAACCACCAAGTGCATTGACACGTGGGGAGAACTGTGTTCTCTGATTGCAAACTGAGACACCAATATAAATGATAATGAAAAAAAAAACCATTGTGGATAACCACTGAATGCAGCATGATGAGACCCCACAACGATAGACAGAGGTGACTGAAAACAACCACCCACTGCTTTCACTGACTGAATACAATACGGTAGCTATAAGAGGCCTTGCTTTGCGACAAAAGGGTGTCAGCAAAGGTCAAAGGAAAAGTTTACAAGACAGTGGTGGGACCAGCTATGTTTTGTGGTCTGGAGACAGAGACATGGACAAAAAGACAGGAGAACTGGAAGTGGCAGAAATCACGATGTTGAGGTTCTCCTTAGGAGTGACAAGGATGGATAAGATTAGGAATGAGATCATGATGTACAGCAAAGGTTGAACAACTGGGAGATAATGTTAGAGAGACCAGACTGAGATGGTTTGGACATGTCCAGAGGAGGGACAGTGGGTATATTGGTAGAATGATGTTAGAAATGCATCTGCCAGGAAAAAAGACAACGAGGAGATATATGGACACAGTTAGAGAGGACATGGAGGTAGTTGGAGTGAAGACAGAGGATGCAGAGGACAAAGTGAGATGGAGAACGAGGACTCACTGTGAAGACCCCTGAAGAGGTCATGCATCGAGTGTTGCAGCATTTATTTAACAGCAGAACCCCATTCTGGAACAACTCTACACAAAACAAGGTTCTTTTTAACCAATCCACTGTAACAACAACAAATACCTTCAGCAGTATTGACAGCCATCTTTGTTCTGGTCGGCCACTATTATAACGAGCAATAAATGCGAACAGGTTTGAGGTAAACAAGAAGTTTGAGAATAAGGAACGGCTGTCTATCCCCACACCCCCTCACCTACCTGCCTACCTGTGATTGTGTTGCTGAGGCAGCAGGTCCAGGAAGGAAACTCAAACCTTCCTCTACTCTCCAGTCCCTCCTGGGGGATCCCAAAAGTTTATCAGATCAAAGAGGATTTGTATCTGTCCAGCTGGTTATGGCTCCCAGTGGGACACACCTGGAATACCGTACCTCCAATCCTAATCAGATGTCTGAACCACCTCAGCTGACCACCTTAAAGTAGACACTCATTTCAGACACCTGTGTTAATAACTTTATGACCAAAGATAAAGGTTGGATATAGACGAACCTTTCCACTCAGCTCCTTCTTCACAACAACAGACCACAGCGACACTCTTATTACTAAAGATAAGACGATCCATCTCATCCTGCTGTTACTCTGAATGGAAATGATTATTGAACTGTGGAACGTAACTGAACTTGCTCTAGAAAATTACATCATGTGCATCATGTGCAGACAAAAACAAAGCATCCACGTAAGAAAAGTAAAATTAATGCTGTTTAAATACCTCAACGTTGTTTTTAATTGGTCTTTAAATTAAAACACATCAAAATGACTTTACCAATTCAATGTTTTCCTGTTGAAACGGGAAATTAATGAAAAGGCAACGAGTTTGTCAGTGTTCCGTCTAAATGAAGGTTGAATTCTGTGCGCTAGTCTGCTAGTCACAGCTTTAAAGAATTGTCTGAGGAGTAAATACCTCTTTGTTCTTCAGACAACAATGTTCACATTTTAACTCACTTACAGTCATTGAACGCCATTTTTCAGTACAAACAATCCTCTTCAGATGACAGAGGCATTTTTAAAAAATATTTGTTTATTGAAGTGTTTAACTCTTTTGCAGGTTCCTACGTCAGGACGAGCCACTTATTATGTGTCCTACAAGAGGGATTTATTTATTCAGATCAAACTGCCCAAGTACTCTCTGCCTAAGGTAAGCTGCTGCATGTTGTCACTAAATCTTGTCTTTTCTAAATGTCGGAGTGAGTTAATCATTTAAATTAAGTTATTTTATAGACCTGAAAAGTTGTTGCTGTTAAAAGGAAGGACGTGGTTAGCTGTAGTCCTCCAAACGTCCTGGGGACTCTGTAGTCCAGTATGTCTGCAGCCTTTTGACCCTTCCATCCTGGTCTCCTATTTGGAGCCTATTTCCCTCTCCTATAGAGAAACTGGTTACCAGTATGAAATCATCTGGTCCCTCCCTTGATGTTTTTCCTCCATGTTTTCTTAAGGAGTTATTTTCTACTGTTGGCTCCTTTATCCTAAATGTGCTCAACAGCAGTTTGATGTTTAGTGTGGTACCAAGCAATTTTAGACATGCTGTGGTGCAGCCATTGTTGAAAAAACCTGGCCTTGATCCATCCTCTTTGTCAGACTTTAGGCCACTCTCAAAGTTACCCTTTATATCTAAAATTTGGAAAAAGTTGTTTACACTCAGCTGAAGGCCTTTTTTATAAATTTTAAATTTTGGAGGACTTTCAATCTGGATTGAAAACGTACCACAGCACTGAATCTGCTCTTTAAAGGGTTTTTAATTACAGTGAACCCTCGCTATAACGCGGTTCACCTTTCACGGTCTCGCTGCTTCACGGGTTTGCATCGTGCATTGTGTTCTGCATTCTGATTGGCTAAACAGTCTCTCCAGTACAGTAGTTATTTGTAAAAAAAAAAAAAACGTTTATACAGTACTTTTATTTGTTAAACAAATGCTTGGCCCTGTAAAAAGGTTTTGTTCTTTGATTTGAATGTATTATGGAGTATTTCATTGTATAATACTTGTAAAAAAAAAAAAAAAAGGTTACTACTTCACGGATTTCGCCTATCACGGGTTCTTTTTGAAACGTAACCCCAGTGAAAAATGAGGGTTCACTGTACATATTTTCAGCAGTGGATTCTGGGAACTGTGTTTTACTTGTGCTTTTAAATTTAACAGCTGCTTTCGACACAGTCGACCATGACGTTCTCATCTCCAGATTGGAGCAGTGGGTGGGCATCACTGGCTCAGCTCTGCAGTGGTTTAGGCCCTACATTTCTGATATAAGTTTCAGTGTGATGATGGATAATTTTACCTCTGCTTCTGCTGCCCTCCCCTGGGGGTGCCCCAGGGCTCTATTCTTGGTGCTCGCCTGTTCTCACTTTAATTTCTGCCACTGGGTTCTATTCTCAGAAACATGGTGTGCAATTTAATTTACTGTATATGCGGATGACTGTCAAGTCTACTTCCCTTTGAAACATAATGGTTCCTTTCTGTCTCTCCTCGACTGTCTCAATGATATTAGAGCACAGGTGTCAAACTCCAGGCCTTGAGGGCCGGAGTCCTGCAACTTTTAGATGTGTCTCTGATGCCACACAGCTGAATCAAATAAGGAGGTCATTAGCAGGACTTTGGAGAACTTGACTGCACTGAGAAGCTAATTCAGTCATATGATTGACTCCTCCAGGCCTGGAGTTTGACACCCCTGTATTAGAGGATAGATGGCACTTAATTTCCTCCATTTTAACAACAACAACAAAAAAAAAAAAAAACAAGACTGAGGTTATGATCTTTAAATCGAGTGGCCCTAGCAGTTTATCCACCTTTATTTTTCCTCTTTGGCCCCATACGAAAAATCCGTTGTTACACATTTAGGGGGTGAAAATGGACCCCTGCCTGAAACTTGACTGCCGTGTCAACAGCATGGTTAAGACCTCTTTTTTTCAGCTGAGACGCCTGTCAAAAATCACGCCCCTCCTTTCTAGGCACCACTTAGAGACAGTAATCCACGGTTTTATTACTTCACGCCTGGATTATTATAACTCTCTTTTGATCGGAGTTAGCCAGGCCTCGCTCTCATGGTTACAGCTGGTACAAACTGCTGCTGCACGATTTTTGACTGGTACAAGTAGGCGTGAGCTCATCACTCCAGTTTTGATGTCTCCATTGGCTTCATGTCCAGTTTCAAATCCATTTTAAAGTTCTTTTGTTTGTTTTTAAGCCTTTGAATGGTCTTAGTCCTTCTTATTTCTCTGAACTGCATGAACTGCTTCACCTTTACATGCCATCACGCACTCTTAGATCCACTGACCAGATGCTTTTGGCAGTCTTGAATACCTTTTATAAATCCAGAGGAGACAGAGCCTTTACAGCTCTGGCTCCTAAATTGTGGAATGAGCTGCCGCTGGAGGTCAGGCAGGCCCCATCAATCCCTGTTTTTAAGACTTGTTTAAAAACACAATTTTTTCTTTGGCTTTTTACCTAATGTGAGCTAGCATCTGTGTCTTAATGCTGTATTGTTTTACTTGGGATGTTTTGATTATTTATATATATATATATATATATATATATATATATATATATATATATATATATATATATATAGTTGTCTTATTGTTTTACTGGAGTTTTTTGTACAGCACTTCAATCAGCTGCTATGTTGTATTTTAAGTGATTTAGAAATAAATTGGTATAGTATGGTATTTGTATTCACACCACAGCATTGATCCTCTGACCAGCCCCACAGGGTCAATGTGTTCTAATCCATCACCCCTGCACCTCCACTCATAACTCCTCTTAATCTCTGCTGCTGCTCCCTGACAGGATTTACACATCGTCAGCACCGACGAGAAGCAGGTCTTTGCGGCGGTGCAGGAGTGGAACCAGAACGACACCTATAACCTCTACCTGTCCGACACCAGAGGCATCTACTTTACCTTGGCCATGGAAAATGTCAAGACCACAAGGGGCATCAGTGGGAACCAAATGCTCGATCTGTACGAGGTACGCGCCTGATTAAATCTGTTGTGCTGGGCGTGCACATCCAAAGGGGTTTTATTAGTTACGTAAATGGATCAATTACTCTTTGGGCTAACAACAAATAAGGTTAAATTGTGTCATCTGGATCAGTTTCTTTAAGTGAGAAACATTTTGTCTCCTATCCGGAGGACTTCATCAGTCAGACGAACCAGATCTGTCCCATAGGTAGGCCTCACTGCTGTGTTTCAAGCCAACTTCCTGTTGAAATCTCAGAAGCAAAACACATGCAAACAGAGTCCATCCATCCAAAACAATGAATCATCATTCAAATTAAATGAATATAAGAGTATAAACACCATCACGTACAACAATCAAATGTTTTAAGCCATATGGACAACTTGCTACTCACAGAACCAACCTGAGGACACCAAGTCCAAAATGGTTCAGAAAAAAAAAAATCTACCTGGATAATTGAGCTTACAAACCTTTTTTATTTTCTTTTTCTTTTATTGTTTTAAAGGTTCTTTATAAATAAAGTTGAATGATTCACATTGACCCACTGCTGCCGAGTGAGACATTTCATGTGCTTTGTTAGGTTGTTCTATGTTCTATTATGTTCTATGTTCTATTATGTTCTATGTTCTAGAATTGCGCCGCTCGGGGTGGCTGCATGCTGGAGTAGCTCTGTTACATTCATTCTGAGTTATTGCTTTTGAAGACTTTAATTCCTCTTTTTTTTTCTGGATGTAAATCACTTTTTTCGGGTGATCATTTACTCTGGCATCGGATGCTGAGCAGCTGGAAGGATTTTTACTGTAACCTTTTTACTTTTGGGCATTTGTTATGATGTGTAACCGTGGGAACAAGGTGTTTTTTAAACAACCAGGAGCAGCTGATGAACTTCTCAAAAGCTCAAAGACCTCAAATACAGCCCCAATTCCCGAATGAGTTGAAAAGGAGGTGCCGTGGATGAATTCCCATCAACCTGGTGGTGGTGCTGGAGTACCTGACCGCTGAGATCCTGGAACTGGTGGGAAAATTGGCTCGTGACAACGGGAGGACCAGTATCATCCCCCAGCACCTTCAGCTGTCTGTCCGTGGCGACGAGGAGCTCGGCAGACTGCTGGGAGGAGTGACCATCGCTCAGGGGGGAATTCTGCCTAGCATTCGGGCAGTCCTGCTGCCCAGGAGGCCCGCTGAATCTGACAGCAAGCTGGATCCGAGTGGACAGATCGGTATCTGTGGCCAGATTATTCAGATTCACTGCAGGAAATCCTTCCTGCCCACAACTATCAGCATCTATAACAACTCTTGAATGAAACCAGGATGATGAGCTACGACAACACTTTGTTTCCCTTTGGGATTAATAAAGTATTTCTGAATTTAATTGAATTAGGGAAGTAAACAAAACCAGCTAGGATTAAACCAGAAGAGCTTAAGATTATTGTTGGATAGAAAAACATTTCTGAGTTGAAAACGTCTCTGTTTTCTGTCGTTGCAACTCAACAAAAAGCCAGCGAGGGATGTGGAGTTGGCTGCTGATATTTCTTATAAACGTTTCCGTCATAAATTTGATCTGTTGTGAACTCCGTCGGTACTGAATGAAAAGGGAAGTTCTGTCGGATGATGCGTTTGTCCACAGACGCGTCCGTGTTGGTCGTCTTACAGGAAGTGGACAGATTTGTGCAACAAGCCGTCCTCGCCCATCTTCCTGACAGCAGAGAGAACGGAGACATTCCAGCTGAATGCAGTGGAACTGTGGACTCGTGCTTGTTAGCTTACCGGCTACATACTGTACGTGTTTGCATTCATATACCCACACACACCTCTGAAGCTGGTTTATCACTCCCACACTGGCAGGTGTGATTGAGCGAGTGAAGGAAGGAAGTGAGGTACTGGCCAGCTGCAGTGGCAGCAGGGTGGTAATTAACAATGCCATTACTTCTCCTGCCCAGGATGTGGATATGTGCACAGAATGTGAGCGCAGCTCCGGTTTCCATGCAGCACAAGTTTATTTCTGCTGAGAGACCACAGAGCGCCGCAGCTTAGGAAGACACAAGCAAACAGATAAATATAAATATATCTCAATCAGTCTGAAAACACCTGTGCTCAACGTAAAAAAACAAACAAAAAAAATGATAAAAGCAAAAAAAATGAAAAAAGAAAAAGAAGTTTGTTGGTGAAACAGACGACTGTTATTTTTTTCTCACAACCCACCAACTGTTATTGCGTGACTGTTTCTGAAGCATTCACTCTACTGTGATCCATTTTTCTTCGTGTGTTTTTCTGCATCTTTCTCGTTCCACAGTTTTGTTGCTATTTCAACAAAACTTTCAGGACAATACTGCTATGACTTTTGGTATTGGTGCAACTTTAGCTGAAATATTTAGCCTTTTCTGCCATTTTTCTCATAGAAAATGAATTGAGCCCATTTTCCATCCTTCACATCTTTAGATCTGTTTACAACGTTTTACTGCTCCTTTCACATTTTGTTCTGGTTCAGCTTCTTTCAGTTTCCTTGTGCAAATTTAAACTTTTTTGCAGCTACTTTCAGCTAATTTCAGCAGTTTTTTTAAGCTATTTTGTGCTTCTTTCAGATATTTTCTTTTAACTACAACATTTTGATGCTTCTTCAAACATCTTTCCGCGCCTTTCAGCTTATTTCTGCAAGCTTCAGCCTTTTCTGTTTTTTCAGCTAGTATTTAGCTGTTTTTATGCTAATTTTCTTTATTTTAGCCAGTTCCATATTTTTTGCACTCTTTTCAACTTTTTCCAGACTATTTCAGCAAAAATGTATTCTTGACTTACTTCTAGTAATCTAAGCTTCTTTCTGCCTTTTTAGCTACTTTTCAGCTGTTTTTGCTAATTTCAACTTTTTTCAGATAACTTCCTCTAATTTGTTAATGTCTGCTTCTTTCAGCATAATTTGGCAAATGTCTTTTTTCTGCTTTCTTCTGCTAATGTAAGCGTGTTCTAACATTTCAGCTTTGTTTTTAGCATTTTTAGCTAATTTCAGCTGTTTTCAGATGTTTTTGTGGTAATTTCTGCTACTTTCAGCCTAATTCAATTCTTTCTGCAAATGTCAGCTTTTCAGCTTATTTCTGCTAGTTTCAGTTTTTTTTCTGCTCTTTCAGCTACATTCAGTTCTTCTGATGCTGTTTTTAGCTTTTTCAGGTAATTCCACATTGTTTAAGTTTATTTCAGCCCCTTCCGCCTCCTTCTGGTAATTAAAGCTTCTTTCTCTTTTTCAGCTTATTCTTTTCAGCTATTTTTTTCTAATTTCAGCCTGTTTTTTAGCTAATTTCCTAAATTGTATCCTCATCTCTGCTTATTTAAACCCAATTCAGCAAATAAGAGTACTTTCTGCTTTCTTCTGCTAATTAAGGTTTGTTTTTCCATTTCAGACACATTTCAGAAAGTTTTTTTTAAGCTAATTTCAGCCGTTTTTCAGCACGTTCTTTTGCACTATGCAGTCACACTGCATTTTCACAGGAAATGCATTTTCTCTAGTTTTCTTTAATTTTCTGCACATAAAATAACTGCAGCCTAACTTAAAACACATTTAATGTACTTTTGTTGACTGAATCCTGCTACATCCGGCTGCAGCTCATCCTTCCACAGTGCTGATGAGAACCCTGATAACAGACGAGTGTTTGGAAGGACCATGGGATCCTCTGAAGAGTCGTTTTCTGGATTTGTGTCCCATTATTTTTTTCCAAACTGACAAGCTCCTTAAGAAAACCAGCTGCAAGTTCTGACTCTTAATGATTCTGATGGGACAAATTAACACAAGCTTAGATTCTGATCGATTCTTTCACAGCATCATTTGGACCCATTTTGCACGAGATGAAACCTTCTGCTTTAACGTCAGGCAACACAAACTTCATCACAAATGTCTAACCCTGTTTATGATCTTTAGAGAACAATTCATAAATTGTCAAATTTCAGAAGCAGCTGCTTTATACGTACATGTAGGGATGCACGATATTGGATTTTTGGCCGATAACCGATACCAATACCGATATTTTTCCCCTAGATCTACTTACAGAGACTACATAGCTTTCTCTGCTGTGTAATTAAAATACTTCTGCATGTTTTGTCAATTTGGCCTGCTACCAAATGCAGATTCTATAAATGGGGCTGAAAATGATGTAACATCATTTTTTATATCTGTGTTATTTTGATGGAATAGCCGACGTCCGATATTTAATGTTATCGCTAATATCAGCCGATACCAAGCCGATAATATTGTGCATCTCTACTTACATGTGCAGTCAACTGCTTCATTTATAAATCAGATCTGCTCAGGAGAGATCTTTGAGTATCTGAAGGGAAACTTTGGATCAAATTTACTCAAGACACACATCATGAGAACTATCAAAGTGATTTTTTCAGACAAGATATTCAAGGTAAACTAATTTTTGAGTTGTGAATATCGCAGGAAATTCTCACAAGATTTGGACAAACAAACTTATTGACTAAGGCTGAACTTCTGTGGGGCTAATATTTGATTTATAACATTTAAGGAATATGCTCGATGCGATTAGACCGGTAGACGAGTCGGGTGTCAGCGCCGTTTTGGAGTTAAACCTAGATCATGAACATAAAAAAGACAGTTTCTTCATCTTTGTTGAACAAACTGAAGCTATGATTCCTGCTCTGTCGAAGCTTCCGTGCTGGAGCACTTTAGATGTCAACCAATGGGAGCTTCTTTTCTACGGCTGCTGCTAATCTGTAGAATTCAGGATCGATATACTGCACATCAACATTTGTTTTTATTACATTTGGCAAAGTATTTAAAAATAAAAATCAATATGTACAAAATGTATTTAACAAAGTTTAGAAGAACCTACACACGTGCACACACAAGAATAAATGTTTGGCTACAACAAGTTAGTTGTAGCAGTTACTGGAGCATCACTTCATACATTTTGCTACTTTCAACTTTATATATATATATATATATATATATTACACCTACCTATATAAAGTAGGTGTATATATATATATATATATTATTTTTT